TACATATTATTAAAATATGGGCTATAACAGTTGTATTGATGTATATCAACTTGAAATGCTCCCAAAAATGGCTCCACAGCATGTAAAAATATAAAGTAAGCTCTGGCGGACTTGGTTCTATGGTAGGTCTTAAAGGGTTAAATAGCAAAAAGAGAAGGAACAAGTCTCTTAAGCCTCTTCCTAAGTCAGACTTCAGACTCATTATAATGCCTGTGATAGCGAGGAGATGCTATTTTCCTCCAGTGTCCAGAAGTTGTCACAGGTTGTCTTCATATGTAACGACTTTATTTATTTTTAAATGGATTTCCTATACAAGCTGTCTCAGCACTTGGTGTGAGGAGGCGTAGGAGATTAGCTTTCCTCCCTAATAAGGTGATGTTCATGACTTGCTGTACATCCTCAGGCTGAAGTGGTGCTCGTGAGAAAGCGCCAGACCCACCAGCTGCTTCCTTATCTGTTCAAGCCTCAGTGATAATAGCCTTTTCCTTCCTTTCTGTCCTTCTGTCTCTGTCTCCGTCCACCTCGCACTCCTCGTGTCCCTCTGTTTTCTCCCATGACTCAACTTTCAGCTTATCTCTGTCGCCATCACTTCTCTCCCCGATGTTTCTTTGTATTTTCCCAATGACCAGTTTGATGTCATCAGAAACCACCAGCACCAATGTAAATAGTTTGTCCTCCTTTTCTTAACCCCCTCCTCTGTAGCACTCTGTCTGATCGGGGTTGCCTGCGACAGCTGGGAGGTGAGCCGGGGAAGGCCGGGCAGGACAAGCTGGATGTCGAAGTGCAGCGTAGCCTGGAGGACAGCCTGGCCACCGAGGCCTACGAGAGAAGGATTCGCCGCCTGGAGCAGGAGAAGCTAGAGCTGAGCCGCAAACTGCAAGGTGAGGTCGGAGCAGCGGTGCATCAGCACAGATGTGTTGCATCATATGCACACAGCCATCATGAGGCATGAGCATCCAGGCTGCACATGCTGAACTTTTAAAAGGCCTATAAATGATGTTTGTGATTTGATGTGCCACAGAGTCGACTCAGACGGTGCAGGCGCTGCAGCACACGGGCGAGGGCCCCCTCAGTGCTAACAAGGAGGTGGAGATCAGGAGCCTGAAAAGCGAGATCGACATTCTGAAGAAGCAGATCGCTGGTCAGGACACAGTGCAACGCTTTTCCTTCTGAATCAGCTCCTGATTGTCTCTGACAGTGTGGTTGTTTGACAAATGTCTGACCGTTTCAAACCAAGCGTGTGTTCGTTTCAGACTCAGGCCAACTGGAGAAGCAGCTGGAGGATGTGACGCTGGCTCGGAGAGACTTGGAGGACTCGTCCAAACACATCAAGACTCTTGAGAAACAGATGAAGAGCGTCACACAGGAACGGGATGACCTACAGAAGGTACAGCTAGTGTTTCGTGTCACTTTCTGGATGTTTAAAGAGCTACAAACGAGCTGAAATAACAAGTTATTGGATCTGAAATGCTCAACTCTGCTGTCGTCTGTGTCGTGTTCAGGATCTCGTGGACGCCAGCGAGAAGTTGAAGTCTCAGTCTAAAGAGCTGAAGGAAGCCCACAGCCAGAGAAAACTGGCCATGCAGGAGTTTTCAGAGCTGAACGAGAAGCTCACAGACCTCAGGTAGAAGCACGTCGACTGCTGGAGTTTCTTTAGTAATGCTTTTTTAACAAAGTCCCGTCCGTGAATAAAACGCCAACGCTGGATGTTTTCCTTGTTCACAGGTCGGCGAAGCAGCGCCTGGTTCGTCAGCTGCGTGACAAAGAGGAGGAGATGGAAAGCCAGAATCAAAAGGTGGAGGCTCTCCGCCTCGAGGTGCGAAAGGCCGAGAGGGCCAAGAAGGAGGTAGAGTAGACTCCCCTGTGGTTGCTGGCACGCCCTGATCTCTGTCTTCACCCACTCGAGGTTCATCCAAACGTGTGCGATCGCTGCAGACGTCCACAGTTTCATGTCCACAGATCACAGTGGCACAAAATGATGTGAAACATTGAGGCGTTGTTCCTCGTGTGTTCGTAGAGCAGCATTTAACATGTGCTGTGTGTGATTGGTGGCAAGAAATGTTTGTGAATGTTATCGCTCTATAAATACGACATCATATATAATCTTATTTCCACTCACGGCCTGAAGCTAGATGGAGAGAACCAGTCATGCAAATAAAATGAAACCAATAAGTCATTAAGAAAAATCCATCAGTGTTGCATATCTGTGATGGGGGGCGTATGCGACCCACCCAACTGTCTAAGTTTGAGTCTTTGTGTTCGCAGCTTCAGTTTCTGTTCATTTCAGCTTCTTTCACAACGTTTCAGGACAGTCGTCACATAACATGAACTTTATTCTGAGGCCGTTCACACACTCGTCTTTAGTCCGATGTCCCGACGTTTTCTTTTCCAGTGGGCTCGTCAGTGCTGACAGGCTGTTTCATCCACGTCATCTTCATCAAACTGCACGTGTCCTCTCCAAAGAGCTGCAGCTTTCTGGGGTTTAGGGCTCCTCTGGTTGTTGTTGTTAACCTGAACATCGGCCAACACCAGAGCGGATTTTACCCCAAACCGTTTGTTTTTAACAGAAATGTCATTTCACACTTTCCTCAGTCTTTAAACATAAACAGGCCACTCACTGGCATCAGTTATTCCTTTTATTAGAGATGCCCTAATGCAGAAGTTGCTCACAGGTTTAATGTGTTTGTCTCTGTAACGTAAAATATTTGTGCAGAAATCTAGAAACGTCCAAAGGTTCACAGAAGACGTGTTGCAGCTGTGCCGTGTTTGAAAAGCTCGTCTGCTTTCATCATCAGATGGAGGCTCAGGTGGAGGAGCAGGCGGCCGAGGCTCAGAAAGAGAAGAAGCTGAGAGAGCGCAACGAGCAGTACAGCCGACAGCTGCAGGAGGAGCTGGAGGGGCTGAAGGTGAGCGTTCAGCAGTCAGAAGACTTGTTTTAAACCATGTTTGAACACGTTTGAGTGTAAAGAAATTAAACCTTTTCTCAGTGCATATAAACCATTCACAAAGTACTAATGACTTAAAATATCTCCATCGGGGTGATTATTTCCCCCTGCATGAGTACACAGAGTCTCACTGGTGCTCTTTTCTCCACCCAGGTGAAGCAGGCTGGCTCCTCTGCTGCCCCAGCCCCGGCGGATCAAACCCAGGAGGTCGGGCGTCTACGTGGAGAAATGGAGAAGAAAACGATGTTCTTCGAGGAAGAGTTGGCCCGCAGGGGGGCGCAGTACAGCGCCGAGCTGAAGGCGCTGCGTAAAGAGCTGAGAGACGCCGAGAGCCAACAGCTCAACCTGCAGAAAGAGATCCTGATGCTCAAAGACAAACTGGAAAAGACTCGTCGTGAAAGGTATCGCACAAGCTTCCCGTTCCTGGGGACTGTTGTTAGCGTTAGTTCACTTTAGGTTCGTCTTTAATACGCTGAGTTTAATTCTTCTGTCGTCTCTTTCAGTGACGAGTCCACGAGGTAATTAAGTTAACGCTAGTTTCATCCATGAATCCCCTTTCTGCTATAAATATAGTAGAACTCCAGCCGTCCCCTAACGTTTCCATAAATTGTGTTTAAATGGATCATAAATATAACAGCGAGAGTTTCCCAGGCACACTGTCACAGTGTTTGCCCCACAAACATGAGTGCATTTCATTCCCAAGGCTGCACTAGTCCAGCTCCCTTTTATTTTTTGACATTTTAAATTTACAGTAATGGTAATAGTAGGCTGGTAAAATAAACATCTTAAAAAATGAAGATGACCTCGATGCTTAGGTCAGATGGGCTGCTGGAGGAAAGGTCTCACTGAGCCGGCCCGTTAGTCAGAGCTGGAAGGATGCAGGTCCCAAACTGGATTTGAAAGGTTTAAAAAAAGATTCAAAGGTCTTGAAATCACCTTTATACCTGTAGATGTCCTGATTACCCTGAATGACTCCTGTTACTCTATTAGCGTTTAAAATGAATATGCAGGAGACGCAGTTTAAAGCTGTCTGTGCTCGGCGGCTGCAGCGAGCTATTAATCTCTAATATGTCAAAAAGAGCTGGAAACCTTTATTTCTTACAGCGGCTGACACATCCTGATGTTTGCTCTGCTGCAGGTCAGCATCACTTATTCTTGCGTTTGCTGATATAGGGCATGTAAAGCTGCAACATGCAGACGATTGAATGATTCTGTTGTGAGACGTCTGCAGAGAAATGTTTCAGATCTGAGTGTTTGTTTAAAGGTGTCACACCTGCCCCTCGGTTCATCCTGGAGCACAAATTTAAAGCAGACTAAACCAACAGTGCCGTCTCCACAGGCCTGTTCAAACTCCACTGTAGTCACTGCACAGTAATGGTTGGTGATAAAATGAGAGCAGCAGAGGCTGAAATGGTAACAAAATAAAAAGATTTGTCAAAATGTGTCAACGTGGAGGTTTTATACCAATGAATGAAAAGAAGTTGTTTCTTCTGCGGCGCTCAGGCTGATCCAACACTGAGCCGCTCGTTTAATACAATTTGAATAAAAACGTGTTTTTGTGGCGAAAGCTGCGGCGCTTTGTTTTGGTACCCTGTCCCATCCTGCCTGCTGTTAGTGCCATATTACCCCCACTGCTTTCTAAGTCCGTTTCAAACTGTATCAGATTCTGACTGCATTAATGTGTTTGGGCTGAATAATGATCTAAGGTTTGCACAGATGTGGGAGGAAGCTCCAACAGACGTGTTGGTCTTAATGTTAAAATGACAAATGCGAGAAATCAGAGAGTTTTGCATTTATAACTTGTGGGTTGGGAATAAATGTAAGTTTATACAAAGTCAGTTTTACAGTAAGTCTGTGTGTGTGCTTTTTCCCGTCCAGCCAAAGTGAGCGGGAAGAGTTTGAGACCGAGTACAAGCAGGAGTATGAGCGAGAGCGAGTCCTGCTCACTGAAGAAAACAAGAAGCTGTCCAGTGACCTCGATAAGGTGACACATCTCCATCTGTTTATACACAAAGTAACAAAGTGACTGT